TGAAGATGGGTTCCTTGAAGACGGTGTGAACTCCTCTGGACGAACCCCCTGGACGGGGTAGCAATCCCTTCCGGGGAATATCTTCGTGCTCTTTTTCCTTTCTCTTGGGTTGGAGGGCTCGGCCTTTGTTGCTCCCCATCTCGTCCTCGACCCTTGAGTACTTGTTGATCCGGGCCATCAGTTCCCCCATATCCGAGGGAGTCTTTTTGGTCAGGGATCGGTACAGGTCCGTGTCCCTCGCCAAGCCGAGCCGGAATGATGCTGCTGCCATGACCTCCGAGCATCCCTCGACCTCATTGACTTCTTCCCAGTATCGGATGGCGTACTGGCGAAGAGTCTCGGATTCCCTCCTCCTGAGGGTCAGCAGTGATCCAATGTCCTTGGGGCGCTTACTCCCCGTGATGAATCGGGTTAGGAACTGCCTTGTCAATTCTTTCCAGGACCCAATACTGTTTGGGGGAAGCGCCTCGAACCACCTCATCGCGGAGTCCCCCAAGCTCATAGGGAACACCCGGCATAGAAACCGTTGGTCCGAATGATAGAGGGACATCATCTGCTTATATTGTCTGATATGGGCATCGGGATCAGATCGCCCATCATAGGTCTTGAACCGTGGCACGACGAACTTTCTTGAGACATCCATCTCACTGATTTCCCTCGTGAAGGGTGTTTGCATGACTTCGTCCTCGGCCTCGTCCTGGACCGTCTTACCCTTTCTTCTGGAGTCTAATCGGGCTCTGAGATCTACTTCTTCCCTTACGGGATGCCTCCTGAAGTCTCTGGGTTCGTCGGTAAGCCCCTCGTTTCCTGGGCGTCGTGTAGATTGGGTTGAGTCCTCCTCGGATTCATCTCCCTTCCTCCGTCTGGACAAACCTCGCCGGAGGTCGTCCAGGGCCAACGGCCTCGCCTTCCTGGAATGGTTGTCGAGATGGCATTCGCCGGCTCTGGGTCGCTTCGGGGCCCTGGAGCTTTCTGCTTTGTGATCCAGGTGGTTTCTTAGATCCTTTGTCTCCGCCTCATGGACGGGGAGTCCTCGGGAGAGGAATGAATCCCTCGACCCTCCGCCTGAGGCAGCAAACTCGTCGAGCCGGCTAAGGACGTTTACATTGTCCTTCTCCAGCTGACGTAATCTATCGCCAAATTTCTCTTCAATCACCTCTGCCAGCTGACGGGCCAAGGGGGCTGATCCTCCTGACCTGATCCCCATACTGGTTTGAGGGGTTACCCCCCTTGACCGAGTAGAGGCACTTTTAATCGTACTGGTGCGATCCCTCCCTCCGTGATGGCAGGGAGCTTGCAACTCATGACTCCTTTGGTGGGGTCCTTTCCCTTTCTGTCTGGTGTTCACCATGGTCACTGTTCTTTATAGAGAAAAGATTAGGAAAACTACTCGTTTCCCACAGACGGCGCCAGATTGTGCGTGCAAGATCCTGCACAATATAAAAAATATTGGGAACAGCTCTCTCCCCTGGTGAACTTTGAGCGAGCCGGTTGAGTGGCCGAACACGCCGCTTGAAACAACCTGCGAGGTCCGGTGGAAAAAAGGAACGGCAAAGGAAGATCCTGGGAAAGGAAGANGAAAAATTAATATATTTATATTAATTTCATTCTTCGAGCTTCTACTAATCATAAGCGATACCTAGTAACATATCATGATCAACCTTCAAATAGCACGAAGTAGGTAACAAACTCATTCAGTCTATAGTTGTCATGCAATTCAATCCTTCTATCACACAATACCCTTATTGAATTACTAGGGTATGAAATAANAAGTAGGTAACAAACTCATTCAGTCTATAGTTGTCATGCAATTCAATCCTTCTATCACACAATACCCTTATTGAATTACTAGGGTATGAAATAACTGTCAAACCTCTAATTCAATCTTATGTGTTCGATCTTAGGACTATGACTCTTAATGATCAATTATAAACTCTTTTTTAATTGTTATTCTGTCTTGGCCAAGGACTCTTTGAGTCATATCCTAGAAGATAACATAGGACATTCTTCATTTATTTACTAAGGATGATAGATTCCATGTTGTGCACACATAAATCTCCATGCATGTCTAACTATATCCAACAAAACATATTCAAGTTACATGGTTAGCATATGAATATGTTGTATAGTTAAAACATAGAAGTTTATGGACAAGATAACCATGGTGTTTCAAGTCTAAGGATTAGTTTCATAACTATAACGTTAGGATTTAATATTGACAAGTATGTAAAACTCCATATGAAAAATCCTACGTTAGTCAATGGTTACGTTCAGTGTATTTGTTCTCTAGCAAGCACCCTTGCTTTAGTGTCCATACACTAGTAACTTGGACGAGTCACTTTATATCAAATATGAGTAAACATAGTGTATGCTAGTCTATCCGAANGTGTCCATACACTAGTAACTTGGACGAGTCACTTTATATCAAATATGAGTAAACATAGTGTATGCTAATCTATCCGGATTACATAGTGCCCACATAATAATCCTGTGACTAGGAACATTAAAGAATTAAGTACTAAGAAATATATGTCTCCTTTTCTCAAGTCCTTGAGAACCTATCTTCTTAAGTTATACTCTATGAACTATATCATGTATATTAAAATAAAATAAAATAAAGAAGAAACATGATAAATACATTTGTCATTTTATTTTAATTAAACAATAAATGTTCCTAGTACAACCCCAAAATATTATTTATATGATTGATCTCAGAGCATACTACTAACAGTTATAGTGTGTGATTCCGATGAGTAATGAGTCCCCTTTGACATTATCANGAGCATACTACTAACAGTTATAGTGTGTGATTCCGATGAGTAATGAGTCCCCTTTGACATTATCACCCCCCAAACAACCCCCATCCATACGTTAAAAGCAAACCCTAGTAAAAGCTTCCTCACTGAGGTTTCTGTTTCGTTGCTTTTGTGATAAGCTCACCACATGAATGAACAACCAACAAAAAAAATATTCATTACATGTCGGCTAGAAAGCTAATATAAATTGTGGGACGAAAATTGTCTGCTACCATCTCTTCCTCGACGCCAATGCAATCGCCCACATGTCACCATCGAGAAAAACACACACGTTAATGCTATAGAAACCAAATTACACTAACTTTATGTGGACTATTAGATTAGTATATCCAATTGAATTCCATAGATCATCCGATAGTTTTGATTGTGTTCACGTCAGTTCATATACATAGAGAAAATATTGAAAAAATTAACTAGAATTCCCACCCTGACCAGTCATCCATGCATACTTGAGGTGTTACAATAAAATGTGTAATTCCTAAAAGAGAGTTTGCGACCACTGTCGTTTTATATATGATTGGATTTGAGCCGTGATATCTGCTCTATTTTTCTTTGCATTACAATAAANGTCATCCATGCATACTTGAGGTGTTACAATAAAATGTGTAATTCCTAAAAGAGAGTTTGCGACCACTGTCGTTTTATATATGATTGGATTTGAGCCGTGATATCTGCTCTATTTTTCTTTGCATTACAATAAAACTAAAGGTATCGAGTCTCTCAAAACACCCGTCAAATATACCCCTATACGTATCCCTAACGTAANAAACTAAAGGTATCGAGTCTCTCAAAACACCCGTCAAATATACCCCTATACGTATCACTAACGTAATGTTGAGAGAGAGAGAGAGAGAGAGAGAGCACTTGCTTCAAAATTGAGAGTATATAGGTGAAGAAATGGATTGATAGAAAAATACAGGTTGGTGTAATTTACCGTTTGTTAGTGTCATTCTTGTTGGTACGTATGAATACTATAAGGTTAAACATATGGCTTTAAGGACACTCCAGGTTGACACTGGAGCTAAAGCCGCCCCCCACCCCCAAACACCCCTTCTCTCACCATAGCTAAAGAGAGGTGGAACGTCTCAAAATTAGAAAAAGTGTTGCTCCATATCCACTCTACCCTTATAATCTTATTTCTTTCTGATTAACATTCTCTCACCATTTTTCAAATAGAGTCGAGGATTTTTTTTTATTTTAATTTTTTTTGAGACAAAAAAATTACACTTTGGCTCAACTATGAACCTCCTTTCACATTGTCCCCTCAACTATTATATCTTTCATATTGCATCATCAACGTTCACTATTAATTTGATAGAAGTATGTTTTATTTTACCCTTCAAACTATGTGATTTTTTTCACTTTGTCTTGGCACGTTATTAGTTTCTGCCAAAAAAATAACAAACATTTGCTTTTGGGGTAATGTAAAATAATTTAATTAGTTGAGAAGATAATGTAAAATTTTCAATAATTTAAGGGGCAAGATGAAATTGAGTCTATAGTTAAAAGGGTCCAATTTAGGATCTAAACATGAGCTACCCTACTGGGTAGGGGTATTTTTTTTTCTTTTGAACACTTGCCCTAAAAGGTTTAAAGAGTTGTTTTTTTTTTTTTTTTGATAATCAACGATATTTTTACAGAGGAGGAGAAGGGGAAGGAAGTCGAACCATCAACATGTCACTCCATTATGAAGGGCTTTTGGATAAGACTTCGGTCTTTAAAAGAGCTGTTTTTTCAGTCATAGCTAAAACTACATTTATTCTGGTACATGAGGATACACAAAATCAAAGCCTAACTTGACGTGCAAGCAACCTCCTTATTTTTTAAGAAAAATTTCATTCTCGTGTTCTTTTACAGAATACAAGCAAGAAAAATTCTCTCTCCCTCTCTCTCTCTCTCTCTAACAGGAGCAAGACACAGTCCAAATCTAGAAAAGAGAGAATCAAAAGTGGAGAATTCAATTCCTTCCCGACATCAACAACAAGAAGAGAAGAAACATTTGGTTTAGTGAAAAAAAGTGCTTTAAAAGAGAGAACTTGACTGTTTCCTTTCCATTTCCTCCCTCTTTTCCTGTCTCTGATCTCACATATCCTTGTTGCTATGTCTATCTTCTGTTGAAAGGTGGAAGAAACAGGAGAAAGAGAAAATCAAACTTGGGATGAGCATAAAAGCAAAACAAGAGAGATGAAATGGTGTAATGATTCCAACGACGAAAGAGCCGTCCAAGTAATCCCATCTTCTACAGAAAACAGTGGTGTTTTCCCAGACGGGGTTGAAGGTAGGACCACTGTAACATGCCCCTCATGTGGCAATAGCTTGGAACTCCAAGATCAGGTACCATATCATTTTCTGCTGATTAATTGTAGATAGGTTGGTGGTATTAATAGTGAAGAATGATTTGTCAACTTTGAGTATACTCAGATTCAATTCGATTTGATTACTTAAGCTCAACTGCAAAGTTTAGATTCTTGCTCAAATTAGATTTAGTAGAAACATAAGAGTTGAAACCTGACTGAATTTCTCTTCAAGAATTATAAAAACAACCCTAAAATGTAATAATCTAAGCTTAATAAGATTGGTTAATCAATAGAAAATCCTTTGAAGTCTACTTAATAACACATAAAATCACACCTTATGCGAAGTTCAAAATTTTCAAAAGCTTATTAGAGAGGAGAGGAAGAAAGAAGCGTGCAGTTTGAATTTCTTTGGAGATAAGGTTTGCATTGTTCATCTTTCTAATAGTGATTGGTTGAAAAGAAAATTAGAATTATATACCGACAATAACCTATTTGAGCCAAACTATGTCTATACGATTCGAGTACACTTTTTTGTAAATTCGACTCATTTATTACATGAATTTTAAAAATATAGTCAAACTTCGTTCATTTTTCAACTTGAAGAACGAGCCTAACTAAGTCAAAACTAGGTGAAGTTCAAGCAACATGGATCATTTAACACACCTATCTAGCTCTTCTTTTAGTACGGATTTGTGTATTCGCATCGAATTTACACTTTTTTATGATGAACATGAAATAGACTGGAATTCATGATTTGCCGGGACTGCCTGCTGGAGTGAAGTTTGATCCATCTGACCAAGAAATTCTTCAACATTTAAATGCAAAGGTGTTGTCTGAAACCCATAGGCTTCATCCACTAATTGATGAATTCATTCCCACTCTTGAGGGAGAGAATGGAATTTGCTACACTCATCCAGAGAAGCTACCAGGTGAATGTCAAGGACCCTTGCTTTGAACTTGCTAAATCTTATTTACTCTATTCCGATCATCTCCAATACACTTTTTCTTCAATTCCCTTTTTGACACGTTATTCATCATTAATAAATGAAGGACTCACTTGTATATACTGGGTCTCACATGAATGCATGATAGATAATATACTAAGAAAAGAATTAAAGAGATAGTGTATTGGAGAAAATCTAATCACTCTCTAATTATCGTTTCTATCATAATGGTAATTTTGGTTTCCATAAAGGCTATACTTTCCTTGCTCAATGTCATTGTTGTATTGAAATTCATAACCAATTAACTTTTCTTTTCCATTCCCTTTGATTTAGAGCACAAAGTAATTAGGATTAGTGGGTGGTAATTGCGTGGGACGTATTCATTACTCATAATGTGAAATCGAAAATCCCTTTGCGGGTATATATCAAATAAGGGTTAATGGTACCTTTATTCCTTAAGGTGGCGTGTTTGTCAATTTAGTATGTAAAGTATTTAGTTCTTATTTAAATTGTCCCTAAATTCCTTGCTAGAGTATCCATTAAGTTTTTTTGACAAAAATAACCACGTGTCATTCTTTCAGACGGTATTACATGACCAACACCTAATTATTTCTGTCAAAAACTTAATGAGTCGCGTGTGTGGTGACCATATAGGCATGAATTGAATAAGGTAAGCAACAAATTAACAAAATTGATAGAATGAGGACCAAATTCGCAAAACGCACATACTTTCTGGATCAAAAATGCTATTGAGATAGTAATAATTTTCATACTTCAACTCCTTATATTCGTTAAACAGTTTAATTTAATTCAGTATTTAAATTTCAATAGATACTAAATAGTTTATGAATTAAAAATTCTGCATTCAGTACTTAAAATTAAACATTTAATTTTCTGTACTTAATTTTCAGTTTTATAAAATACCACCTTACAGTTTAAACAATAGTGAACAGAGTGAGATTTCAAAAACTCATGTGGCCTAAACCACAACTACGTTCCACTCCTTTAAGCAATTGGTATAAGATGTTCATTTGTGCTCTAACAAGGTAGATGCCATGTTGTCCCTTAACCTATATCATAAAGTTCTCAGAGTGGCATTGTCAGTGTTACCTCTTGTGCCTCTAATTGACATGCTGCATAAGTATCTTGTACAGTTTTATGAAGAGCAATGAAAGATTGGATTAGATGTTCTACACAAACTAATGTTGCATTGTACTTCCCCTCATGGATATCCAATGGGGAAGAGAAAAATTTTCCTTCTTATTCCAATGTTTTAGGTGATATAAATCCATGTACGCTGTCTATTCAATTTTGCTCTTGATCATATATGCTTTCATTATTGAGTTTCGCATNATGCTGCATAAGTATCTTGTACAGTTTTATGAAGAGCAATGAAAGATTGGATTAGATGTTCTACACAAACTAATGTTGCATTGTACTTCCCCTCATGGATATCCAATGGGGAAGAGAAAAATTTTCCTTCTTATTCCAATGTTTTAGGTGATACAAATCCATGTACGCTGTCTATTCAATTTTGCTCTTGATCATATATGCTTTCATTATTGAGTTTCGCGTCAAGAACTCGAGTCCATACATATATATATGATTTAGCAAATCATGGATGATTCAAATACTCGGAATTACTACCGAGTTACTCAAAACGCTCACATATGATATGATTTTTATTTTGGATTTATCTCGACTTGAAGCACCTTTCTCCACTCATGTTACTTGATGGTTACAACAGCAAAGTACTAAAACTATTCCAGGACATGATAATCTTCTAGTTCTTGACCTTTTCATTTCATATACCATNGATTTTTATTTTGGATTTATCTCGACTTGAAGCACCTTTCTCCACTCATGTTACTTAATGGTTACAACAGCAAAGTACTAAAACTATTCCAGGACATGATAATCTTCTAGTTCTTGACCTTTTCATTTCATATACCATTTTCTTCTAATGACCTAGTTAATGTTATTCTTATCAAAAAATATATAATTTCTCTTTGGCTGTCATGTTTGAGCATGCAGGAGTGAGGAAGGATGGCCAAATCAGCCACTTCTTTCATCGACCTTCAAAGGCGTATACAACGGGGACTCGAAAACGAAGAAAGGTGCATGCAGGTGCCGATGGTGGTGAGACAAGATGGCACAAAACAGGCAAGACTAGGCCAGTTATAATAGGTGGGGTTGTGAAAGGGTATAAAAAGATACTAGTGCTCTACACAAACTATGGTAGGCAAAAGAAGCCAGAAAAGACTAGTTGGGTCATGCACCAGTATCATCTTGGAGATAATGAGGATGAAAAAGATGGAGAATTAGTGCTTTCAAAAGTGTTTTTTCAAACACAGCCTAGACAATGTGGTTCAAATGTTAAAGATTCAGCTGACAAAAAATCAAAAACAATAACCAGGGATGCTAGTCATATGATCAAGAACACTAACTTTGTTGAGTTCTATAATCCTCCGTTTCTCGGGTTTTCAGATTCCACCAATTTGGTTGTCCATGGTGATGGGTCCTCCTTTATTCATCTACCTACAAGTGCAAGCAAAGGAAATTGAGGAAATAGAACATGGACATGTTTGGTGGTAATTTTTTTTCGATGAACACACAGAGGGATATATGCATATTTTTAACATACTTGACAGTATTGGTTGCTATAGTTTCATACTCAAATAACTTAATATTGAGATCATAATGAGGAAGGGGAATAAAAAGATTGGTTTCTTCTAACTGTAAAGCCATCTTCTTTGTAGTTTTGGGTTAAAGAAAGTGAACATAAAAATGTTCTTCAAGGATTTCTTGAAGAGAGCTCATACTAAAGAGGTACTGCATTGTATTTAATTACCTGTTTCTGTGGAAGAGTGATTTGTATTTATGTTAAGAGATGTACAAAGATGATTCTTGCAAACTTTCACTTTGGAGTTTTAGTTGCATTAATGTTAGAAGTAAATATTGGGTGTAACAGTTATACCCATGGTGTAACCGCCTTATGTTTAAAGAATAAATGGACAAAGTAACCCCACTTTTTTTTACATAGAATAGTTACTATCCTACATGAAGGGGTAGTTATTTGAATGAGTGACGTCCACTTTATATATTTTGTGAGTTATAATTAAACAATTACACCACATGACAATGCAAACGTGATATAACCATTACACCCAGTGTAGGAGATTTGTAGCTATCTCTGTCTGTAACTCACTAGAGGCCCGGGAAATAAAGAGAATATGTGCATAGATGAACAGGGCACATACATTGTGCTAGTGTAATCAACACCTCATGGTCATTAAAGCGAAAACAAAATCAATGAGAGAAACACTTACAATTGCACTTAGTTCTTGGGTCCTTGAATACAGGAGACATTGAGCATTACAACGCTGATCTGACTGGTGAAGAACAGATCCACCGGTATTCAAGTTGCTGAAAAAAGAATCACTTAGTTATAGGAAAATACAAGACATCTACAACAAACCATCCTTTCATCAACTCATAAAACAATCATGAACTACAAACAACAGCAAGATTTCTCTGCATCTTAGCTAGCATATGCACGAACCCTAGGTTCAACCACTGCCAGAGTCTTGTCCATCATCTACAGTGTTGTTATCTGATTAGCAATTTTCCCAAAAAAGACAGTAAACATAATAGCAGATCATTTATAAATAATATCAAAATAGGAATGCCAAACACAGACATAACATAACTTCATCTAACATATCTCCGAAACTGGAAGTATCTGCAATTACACCCTAGACAAACACAAGGTAAGCAGGCAAAGGTACATGAGCTGTTAGAGTTAGATTACTTTCAATATCATTACTTACACCATCCGATAAATATTTTCTAAATCTAACACAACAAAAGTGGAAGAGACAGCCTCAAATGACCATAAAAGCAAACCAAAGAAGAGAAAAATGAAATAACAATAGCTAACTGAATAATGAAGCCGATGGCATCCAATATGAATAAAAACCTCTGCCGATACAGAAGAAATCTCAGGCTCTGTACCAACATTGATGAAGACTTTTGAGGATCGACTTTGTGGCTTCTATTACTCACACATAGGTGACCAAAGCTGTCTATCACTCTATTCTCAGCTGATTAAAGGCATCCTTCTTGAACTAATTCACATAAAAAGTCATGATTTCTGGAGAACACATTTCTCGTAGAGAGCAAGGATGTCTTTCTTATTGGGATTCTTCAACTGGAGCAGCTCAGAGCCAAAATTATGTTTTGTGAGCTCTTGCTTAAGTTTCTGCACTGTGAACCTTGAATAATCTTCTGAATTGGTTTGTTGGCTGTGGTTGTCTTTATCACCCTTAAACACTGAGCCACCATCTTCTGGTGTTGTGAACTTCAAAGGGCTAGTTGTACTTTTGGACTTCTTATTTCCTCTGGTTATTCGGTCATTAGTGTCCATATCATGAACAGATTCCACACCTATTTCATATTCATCTGCCCTTGCACGTTTCCCATGCGAAACAGTTTTGAGCTTACTGTCCAATGCTGTTTCGTTGAGGCGAACTGCAGTCATCTGTTGCTGGAGTAAATCAAGTTTTCCTTGTGTGGCTTGTAGCTGAACAGAGAGTGCTTCTGCTCTGTTGTTTGCCTCTGCACGTGCTGTACGCTCGGTCTCCAAGAGACTCTCAAGGACTTGAACTGTATCAGCCCTCTGTTCATTATTCGATTCCAATAGTGACTCAATTTCTTTTTCCCTTTCTTCAACCCTTGCCTCCAGCATTGCAACTTTGGATAGGGCATCCATCTGGGATGCACGGTACCTTTCTACTTCATCCGCCAAATCAGTTTTTTGCCTCTCCAGATTTTCAACAAGCCTCTCAGCTCTCTCAATTTGGGCCAATCTTTCCATCGCTATTCGCTCAAACTCACTCTTGTCTCTCTGGGCAGTGACTGCTTCTGCTCGTGCTTTGTCAGCCAATTCAGTTGCTCTTTTAGCTTCTTTTTCGGCAATTTTACACCTTTCATGGACTTCTCCAAATCTGTTAAACTCAGATTGGTACTTCTGCTCCAGAAGATCTTTTTCCTGTTCTAGAGTCCTAGCTTCTCTTTCAAATGATCGTGCAGTAGTGCTTACACTTTCTAACCTCCCACCCAACTCCTTAATCTCAAGCTTTAAGCTTGATATCTCCAGATAATAGTTCTTTATCTTAGACTCAGCAGCCTACAGACAGTGAAAGACCAATAAATAATACATTACCCAGAAGGTACATACTAAAATACATGCACTCCACCTCAAAATTGTATTATAAGCACCGACATCAACTCATGGGCATAATAGAAGTTCTTTGAAAGATAACTACTACACCCAACTCTCACATGCGGTCCAACTACCAACCACTTTTTTGCTAATCCATTAATTTCATCATTTTAACCACATTTTATGAATTTAAACTCATCTTCAAATGCAAAGTATGCCCAAACAATCGAGTACAAGTCGGTGATGTGTATAAAGTGCAGCATATAAAAATTAGTAGAAACTTTATGATAGCCCCTCTGTCTAAATGTGTGTGTGTGTTTGCAAAGTCCATCCATTAAAAAGTCACAAGGTGAAATCCACTCAAAGCTCACCTTCAACTCCGAATTCAAAGTAGTCAGCCGCTGCTCAGCTTGTTCAATTTTTGCCACCTTAGCCTTCATTTCCTCTTCCTGTATTTTCATTATAAAGGAAACGAATCATCAAACTATTCAAGTACAAGTACTACTAAGATGATCTGCAGTATGTCAAACAACTAAGAGAGAGAGAGAGAGAGAGAGAGAGAGAGAGAGCACCTTATCAGCCAATGTACCAGAAAATTCTGCTCTCAAAGCATCTTCTCTCAGTTGCGTTTGCTTGTTTGTGCGTTCTTGAACAGTTGCTGCCTTCTCAAGAGCATTTTTCGCTTCTCGAACAGCAATGTCAAACTTCCGTTTCCACTCCTCTGCCTCCTCTTGAGCAGACTGAGTTTGCTCCCGAGCAGCAGCCAGCCTTGCTTCAGCAGCACTGCTCCTCGATCTGAGAATTGCTATTTCTGCAGTTACCTGTTCTTCCTCAGCCTTTTGCTTCGATGAAACCTGTTCATATTTTCTTTTCCACTCCAAGGAGTCCTGCCTGGCAGAATCCAGTATTTTTGATAAGCTGGAAGATCTCTCTTCCAATGAGCTACATTTGCTCTGCAAATTTGTTATGCGGTTCATATAATCATCCGCAAGCTTCTTCTTGTCGTTAATAGCATCTTCATAACGCTTCAGATATTCAGATTTGTACCTCTCACTAGCGTCTAGTTGCTTGTTAAGCAACAACATCTTATCTTCCATTGAGCGGCATTTCAACATGAGGGAACTTTTCTCAGTACCCACTTGGTCTATTTGCTTCTTGATGAGGTCAAAGACTGGACCTTCCAAACTGGAGCATTTGTAACTTCAGATAGAATATTAAACACAAAACCAGTAGACTATAAAATGCCAATACAAACCTTTGTCGCAAGAACACTGCCAGTTTATGCCATTTTTCTGGACCATGGGATGATGCTTCATACTTGGATATAAGATTATCAAGAACCTGCATGACAAAATTTTGACCATATCAGACTTTGTTGACAACCATAATCTACTTATTCAAGGATTCCAAAAAACTATCCAGCTATAGAGCTCAATTAAAAGTTAGGATTGATTACTTCTGAGAAGCAAAGAACTCATATGAAGCACATCAGAGAATTACTAGACGTTCATAATGAAATCCCTTGCAAATAAAAGCTTGAATAATAAAGGCAGGCACTATTCAGTAAAAAACTCATGTACAAAGACAGTAACAAAACAGTAATCAAAATGTAACCAACACATCAATTTTCATTTTAAAGTTCCAAATTTTGAAGCAAAACTCAAAACAATGGCCTTCCTCAAATTTGTCATGCTAATTAATCCAAAAATGTAGAAGTGTATTCTCCACTGAAAACCCAAAAAGAACCATGGGCAAGATTGACTAGTTTGCTCCACTATAATGTTGGAAACGGTTCTCGATTTTTGAAACAATCGATAGCTAAATGCCAGGAAACCTTAGGATAGAATATCAGTAAATCATGCCAACTTTCAAATACCATCTGACAAACACAAATTCCATGTCAATCATCTACCTGCCTGACATGAATCCTGAAAGGTCAATCTAAAAAAGCCTTCTTATCACAACATTATATTGAAATGCCAATGGAGATGACAACTACAAGGCTGGAAAGGGGGGACTAGTAGCTTCCCAACTTCAATGAAAACTCAGGATATAATATTATATGCAATGTCAAATTGTACAGTGCTACGCCCACACAAAAGCCTACAATCTGATGCAAATATTTGTTCCGAATTCCGCTGCCTTTGGTCATTCAAACAGTGAAGCAGAAATGAGAAAATCCTCAATCTGTGACTATGCTAAAAAGGACAAGGCTTGAACAAGAACAATGCAAAAAAGAATAGCTTGATTCCATTTTTTTTAGGTGTAACATTTATGTTCCTTATTAGGGGTATAATCAGCTCACTAAACATTTCTGCCAAACCTAATTTCAGCCGAATC